ATAAAATGTTGATTGCGACTGAAACACCAGTGATTTGTTTAATATCTTTTCATCATGATACTTTTTATCCTAATTTTCTGAAATTTGAGTAATTTAATTCAAATAACATTTGTAATATTATAATGAATTCTCGAATGATCCTTAATGGGTTGATATTAATCTACTATTTCAGTATATTAAAATATTCCAAATGGAAAGCGAGACTATCAAAATAATGATAAGATAATGATCACGATTTTATAAAAAGAAGAAAATTTATTTTTCTCTATAAAACAATTTTATTGAAAAATTTCATGATACGAACAAAAATTTCACTCTATGTACTAAAGTACAATTATAGTCTGGCTGTAATTTTAATTAGACTTGGATTCAAAATTTTAACACACGAATAGAATACTTTGCAATTTGTTTTTTAAAATTTTATCCTGGAATTTTCTGAATCCTCGTTTTAGAATTTACAATACTCTACAAGTCATCTCAAACTTCACAACCTCTATGCAACTCTGAACTTTGTAATTCTGGTACTATAACTCTTAGCGGTATAATTCTAAATTCTGTAACTGTTAACCTCATAACCCTGACTTCAGAACTCCGAATCTTGTAACCTGTGAACTTTCAAACTTTCTGAATCCACAATCAGAAACTTTCGATAGGTACAACGTACGTATAATACAATTTATATTATTTAAAAAAATTCGCGAACTTGACATCAGCTGCAACAGTATCAATGTTTTTTATCAACAATTGTTTATACTCTTTTATTAGATGAACTGTTCGTATGTGCAATAAGTTATTTATTACTTTTGTTACACTATTGTATCACTTGCTTTTCAATATAATTTTTATTTGTTTCATCACTTACTTCAATGCTACATCACTTTGCTATTCAATAACGCGACAGATCAGAAAATTAACAAAATGGACTTATCATGTTATTTCCAACGGATTTCAAGTGTATTAGGTGAAATCACAAATGACAGAATCGCTCGAGCATGCATTTAATTCCCCGAGTTTCTGATTGCAATATTCTGTTTTCGGAGTCGCCGATTGTAAACTCGCTTTTAGAAATTCAATTCACTTTCGCGCGTGAACTTCCATCTAACAATATCCCTCGGAAACGAATATTCGAATAAAACGAACTGAAATAGTACGTAGATTGAAACACTTCAAACTTTCAAATTAATTTAATTTAATTAAATTTAATTACTTCGTATTTTAATTTCATTTTTCAATTACTTTATTATTTTGTTAATTTAATTTTTTTATCAATATTTCAACGGTATCGTACGGATGTAGTGCAACAAACACAAGATATAATTATTTTAACATGAAATAATAATTACAGAATAGTACAGCGAACTACTACGTTTTTTCCCCGACTATTTCTCACAGATACCACTGACTTTTATTTGCAGTTGTATTTTATTTATGCTTGCTCACGATAGATATTAGATTAATAAAGCTATATTTTTTAACGTCATTTTAACTCTGTTTGTCACTGATTTCCTTGGCTGAAGTACACAGAGACAGATTATAAAAAACCGGATTCGCTGAAAACTTTATTACAACGTTACAATGAAAATCTGAAATATAAAGAGGGCAGTAATTGGACTCGCAGCACCGCTCAATTTCACGATCGCGTACAAGTGAAATGCGAAAGGGAACGTATTATATCAAATAAATATTAATTTTCGCACTGCGAATTGATTACGGCTGAGCTTTAATTGATTAAAGTCAAACGAAATCAAAATGAACCCGGTAATGCCTGTCATAATACCTTAATCGTCATACTTTTACTTATTGTTAGTGCGTTTGTTTCTTATCTTTGTTTCACGTCGCTTCACATTGTTCTCATTATTTCACGTTACCTAGCGTTTCTTATTTCCGAATTGTGCCTCGTAAAATATTCCGGAATTGTTCCTCAGAAAAATACGATAAATACTGTTACATGAAATATAACAAATATAATTATAATATTGTTGTAATAAAATATAATAAATATATAATCATAATGTTGTTACAATAAATATAATATTGTTATGATAAAATATAATAAATATATAATTATAATGGTACAATAAATATAATATTGTTATAATAAAATACAATAAATATATAATTATAATGTTGTTACAATAAATATAATATTATTATGATAAAATATAATAAAGTATTGTACAAGAATATAATAAATTAATATATTAAAAATATAATAAATTAATATATTAAAAATATAATAAATTAATATATTAAGAATATAATAAATTAAGGAACGACGCTGTTTTTTTCTATCCACGTTCCACAAATTCAATCCTTGTCGAGGAAATCCGTCTCGATCGTGGCTCGTAAATGAACCATGCCGCGGACAAAAATTGGATCGCCATAGAAAGAAGCTCGGATTCGATTAGGAATCGATATATTTCACCGATTTCTACTCGTTTATTCGTCCACGTTGAGGGAATAATAGAGGGATATGACTTTTCTTTATCGTCGCCACGGTAAGAAGCAGCCGCGCGGACGATCAATCGCGAGCTGGAGTCGATCTCGCGGCGTCCGAGGAAACTTCGCTACCAGGCCAATGGAAATGGAGGAGAAAATTGGCAGACAGTGGGAAAGTATTCGCCGATATTGCGAGCGACTCGGCTGGTAAACAAGATTGCCCTCTGCATTCTCGTTCTCCTCGGCATGTACGCGCTGCTACCGATTTTCGTCAACGTAATCCCACGGATAAATAAACGAGCGGATCGAACGAATAAAACCAATCTACTACTTTCCTTTCCTCTCGAAAATTTTCTGGAAAATTTACAGTAACGTATCTTTGAACATACGTTTAAATTGATGACACATCAGTCATGGCAATTGTGTAATAAATTTCGTTATTTTATGTTGTTCGACATTTTTCTCAGAATGAAATTTAATGCCTTCTTTCTTTGTGCTTTGTATACTTTAAATTCAATCTTGTCCATTTTCACTCGTTTCAATTTTCTTCTGACAGAAGTCGGAGAATGTATTATCACATCATTATATTATCCATTTTTTATTGTACATCGTTATCACCTCATTAGTATATTATTCAACTTGTCAATGAACTAACTTACGTTTCTCAAGCAAAATTGAAGCAAAGTTAAAATTATCACTTGACACGTAATTCTATAATAAATAAACAAAAAATCCCCTCCCTCGTGAATCAAATTAAAATGTCCGAAACTTCAAAATTCAATTCACTCTCAGAAATGAATGTGCCAGCATCAGTAATTCAACAAAATTCTAATAAGAATAGAAAAATAATCTTCGTCCCTCGTGTAACACATTCAGTGAGAAAACCTTCTTCGAAATAAATGAAAATGAATGCAAATGACCAATTACTAATATAATAAAATTCAACGTACGACTAGATACATCAATACCAGAACTACCAAAATGGTCAAAATAACCAATTTAGTGTAATCTTTGTTGGATATTTTACAGATGTAAAACAATATGTATTTTCAGAGATTTAAATGATTTTTCGTAAAATGTATAAATAAAAGCTTGTGTACTTCGTTGTGTTGTACAGTTTTCTTTTTTTTTTTTTTAATTTAACACTCTTGGAAATTTTCAATCACTGGTAGTTCTAGTACTAACGCATACATTTCGTCCTAAACTGAAATTGAAAATTCGTCGATTTACCAGATAAATTTAGTATTGAAATAATCGGGGATCCATCGGCGTGCTTGCATGCCGTAAAATTCGTGGACCACACGCTGGATCCACACTGATGGATATCGATGGTAATCGGGAGTGACGCGGAGTTGTTGTTTGCAACATGGCGGAGTTTTGATGCGACTAATTTTAAATAATTGAAGTGAATCGAGCAGACCGGCGCCCCGTAAATGATTAATTACCCAACCCGGGATAGGAAAGGGCCCGAGCGTTTTAATAATATTAATCACGATTGTTAATACATGGCATCGCGTGAAATCATCGCGTACCACTTGCGGCGGTTCATTTAAAATTAGAACGCGACTCGGAATAGATGAGAATCACTCGATCCGGTTCTAATCTGCGAATTATTGGCGAAAATATTCGAAATTCGCGTCGTCGTGCATGAATAGAATAGATACGTGTGCATTAAATATTTCAATGATAGACGACGGAATTTTAATTTATATATTTCCAAAATATTCTCTCACGTTGGGAGGTCAGAAACATGTGGATAGCGATCAAATAATTAATTTGATACATTGTTCCAAGTGCTGTGGTATTTCGAAAACAAAGAAATTTTAAGATTGCGATGTCGCACATATTTTTAGCTGTGTGTTAGAACAAGTTAAATCATTCGCGTGTAAAAGATATTGTAAAATATTACTGAATCAAATTTATTCATAATCTTGTAACATTTGCATAAAATAATTGACTCAATTTCGACTGTAATTACGTTGGTTCCAATCTTATTACAGGAATCATAGAAATTTGCGTGTTATAAAATTAACACTATATTATACGTGCGTAATTTTCGAGATTATAATTTTAAATTTAAGTTTAATGCAAACTCTCTTCTCATTGAAAGATTCGCTTTCGATACTTGACGTAAGGAACTAAGGATATCAATTGATAATTCTGACATAACCTGAACCTCTCGTCATTGATCGTGCTCTCATGAAAAAAAAAACTATTCTTTAAAGCAGCACTTCAAAAGACCGACTTGTTCAATAAACAATATCATTCAAATTTCGCAAACGATTTGCAACGATTGCAAGATTTTCATTCCTTAATTAAAAGAATTGTTTAATATTTACATTATTCAGAGGATACACGAAATGTTCGGAATCAAAAAAATTCACCCTAAATCTAAACCTAATCCGCGTGTTTGTCAATCCCAAAATTCCCCAAAACAAACTCTTTCCTTCATTGAAAGATCCACTTCGAGCAGTTCGAGACAGAAAAATCCCTCCAATCAACAAAGATCGCGAGAACGTCCATCGGAGGTGGCAATCAACTCTGAACTGGATGAAACTTACCGATCGAACGTCACGGAAGAGATCGTCTCTCTGTCTGAGCGGCGCAATAAACTGTCGTTCGTGGCTAGGCAGGGTCCCCTCGTTGCCATTCACTTCCGGAAACGTGACAAACACCGCCACTTCCCGTCAACACTGGCCCCAGGGTAAAAACAAATCGCACCAGCACGCACACGTACACACACTACATCCCTCGATCGCGTTCATGCTTTTTCTCTTTCTTCTTGTTCACGTTTTTTCCTTTCGCGAACCGCGGCTCGCGTCGTTCGCCGACCAACTGAAACGAACAACCTCGCAGCACGCGTTCGTTTCCGCCACTTAATTCGTCCTGACCTGCGTACCTCGCAAAAATATCATCCAATCGGCTCGATCACTCGGAAACTACGCCGCTCTATCCACACGCGTCAATTTCCATCGAACACGTGCACACTCTGTTTTTTTTTTTTTTTTTTTTTTTTGGGGGATTGATCGCTGGTCGAGGCTGCGACTGATTCTTTTTCTCAAATTTGTTTCAAATTTGTTTTTTTTTTTTTTTTGTATGTGATCGGTGTTACCGAGGCTCTTTCTTGTTTCTGTCTTTTTTTTTTTTTTCACTTACAGTCGTATCGTTCTCGACTGTTGAACGCTTGAACTCGTGACTCTCCAAGTCGTTAGTTTCGTCGAATTTGATTATTTTTTTCTTTTTATTTACGGCGTTGCTTTCCTGAATATTCCTGAACGTGATGGATGTAACTGAGACTCAGTCGCAGTTCCTCTGTTCAATTTTCTAAGTTGTCGGTTTCTCTTATTTGCAATTTTAAATATATTCTGTCGCTGGAATTCGGTAGCAACGTTCTTGCATTCCTCAGTTGTCAGTTCGAGTTAGTTATTTCTCATCCGTGAGGTTTCTCTTGGATATTATCACTGGATGTGGTTCCCACGATTTCTTTTTTTTTATTTCCAAATTGTCAGTTTCTGTTACTTCTCGCAACTACTCGCAACTCGTCCTCTTTTCACATATTTTCAGTGGACAGAGACGCTGAAATTCAGCAGCGACTTAGAGTTTTATCAGTTTCTGCGATTCCTTTTTATATCGTTTCACATGTTCCTTAATTTATTCAATTAATTTCGACAAATCAGTCGTTCGCAAAAGTACTACTTTCTATATTCACCAACGTTAAACAACGATCCAACAAATACAGGATATTCCTGTCCTCGACGAAACACTTGCATCGTCCCCGATAGACGTCGAATATTCTCGACAGTTACTCCCTAACAATTTACCGAAACGGAGACACGAGCGAAACCTCCAAGGACCACCAAACATCCGTCTCCAACGTCGTCTCGCCAAACACGTCTCTGTATCCTAAACCAACTGCTACACCACTAGGAACCACAATACTCGAACGTAACGCAAGTTTCTTTCGCATGAAGCTCACGTATCAACTCGCTGAATCAGCCACGAGATCATCGTCGAAGGATCACGTCGCGCGTCGACATCGTGTCACGAACGATTCCGAAGAATGGATCTCAAACCGATCGTCGAACCGATCGACTCAGCACCGAAAGTATCCTGATCGAGTGGAGTGGAGAACACGAGCAAAGCAACGCTGCCCTCGCGTTGAGAAGCGTGAGGAAAAGGGGAGACGAGTTAAGCGTGACTCGTCTGGTTGGCCAGCACGTGACACTGCGTTGGCGACGTGTGTGCGACGTGGTGACGCGGAGGATACGCGGAGGCCACGTTACACCTGCTGCCAGTGCCACACGGCGTGACGTTCTGGCCTGGTCTGTGTACCAGGGTGCTACTGGGGAACGGCGTATGCTTGTTTTTGCAGGGCTGGCAGCGCGGCGCGCGAGCGAGACGCCCGCCAGTGGCGGGGGGTTGGCCGAGAGAGAGACAGAGGCAGACAGAGAGGAGCAGGGACACGTGAAACGAACCGAGATCGACGGCCCGGTGAGCACGAGACGGGGATGAAGATCGGCGAGAAACAGGGATACGAAGAGACGGTCGACCTGTTAGGGGGACAGAGAGGATCCAATGTAGGGGAAGTGGCCATGGTGGTGGTGGTGGTGGTGGTGGTGGTGGTGGTGGTGGTGGTGGTTCTGGCGGAAAAAGAGGAACGCGTGCCTGGAAAACCGGGATGAAGGGAGACGGTTGACGAACAGCTGAACGTAGAGGGGTGAAAACACGGGAAAGAATGAACTGACTGTGAAACGCGACACGGGAACAAGCAGCCTGTCAAGCTGAAGAGGGGGGACGCGGGTGGAAGAGAGACGGAACGTTCGTCTCGGCCCCCACCAGGCCAAGTTTTCGCCTGGTACCGACGACGACGGTCCTGCTGTTGCGACGGCGCACCGGCTCCAAGGATCTCCGTCCTTCTTCACCAGACCACCACCGGCTCCCTCCATTTCGATCGTCGGTATATGTGCGTGCGCGTGTGTGTGCGTGCGTGTGCGTGCGTGTGTGTGTGTGTGTGTGTGTGTGTGCTAGTCCACCCCTCGAACGCGCCAGCTGCCCCTCCGTCTCCACACCCCTCCGCCATCCGATCGATCCGACGTCGGTTCGCGCGATTCACCGACAACGCGGCTTATGCTCGCGCGTGCACGCGCCCGTCACAAGACCAGACTCGCGCGTGCCGACACCGCCAGCGTGAAGTCGAAAAGGGATGAAGTTTCGAGTCGGGGGGGTATAGAAATCGGTTTGCTTCAATCGGGAAAGAAGGGGAAGGCGTCTCATACGAGACCCGAACTTTCGAGAAGCCAAGCCGATCAACTTCACTCCGTTTTGTCAATCTCTCAATTTCACGAAACGAGCGCGATTCATTAAAAAGAAAGAAGAACGAAGATTTTATTACTTCCGTGAATTTGTTCTATTAGAAGACATAATGGTAAATTTAAAAAATACCGTTGACAGTATATCGCCGCGATATCTTTTCTTGCTTTTTTTAATTTGCCGAGTTTATCGTTAATACATGCTGATCGCGGTAATGAGTTGACTTATTTTTTTTTTTTTTTTTTTTTTTTTGTTGATGGATCGAGGGAACGAACGATTTAGTGGAATGTTCGGTTGTTGATGATGAATTTGTATGGGGTATTGATAAGTGTCACGTGCGGTGATAGGTCGGTTGATTGATGAGCAGTTTCAGGTGGATGAGATTAGGGATTGATCGGTCGATTTCTTCTTTGAATCATTGAGGAAGGGGAAGGCGGGTTGTTTGATTGCATGATGTATTGATAAGTGGATGATGGGGAAGTTGATGTATTGGAAGATTGAAGATAGCCGAGTTTCTTCTTCGAGTCACTGAGAGGAGTGTAATGGTGCGTTTGACTATTGCTGATGTATTTGTGATAGTGTTACGTGATTTGATTTTCAAGTTGACTGATTGGAAGATTGGAATAAATGAAATCAGAATGTTCCGACGCGATAATATTTTCCTGTTACGGAAAGGAGAAAGAAAATATGAAATTTTCAGATCTTGCGTAATAAAAATCTTGTACAATTTACAAAGTTATGTACTCTTTACGCTTATTTATTTTTTGAAATTTTTAATACCAAATTGTCTCAGATAAAATGGATTTTAAAGTCTGACCGAAATATTAGATTGTACACTGAAGCACATATACATAACGACACAACTTTTAAATTATTAGTTGTATTATTCACTTAGTTGTACTACTGATTAATCAGTGTTTTTCCGTGTCACATTCTACCATATTAATCTATTAATCTAAAAAAAAAAAAGATACGAAGTTATATGAATATCAACGTAAATTACATATTCAACTTCATCTTTCGATCAATATCCGAATGTCTACAGTTATGTACCTCGGAATAAATAATCCATGATACTTTATCAATAACAGATAGAATTCTAAGAAATTCTGCCTCAATTCCTTTATATGATCAATACTCCTTTTCGTCGAATTCGTTCTTCGATACTTTTCTTTTTAGATTCTACAATTTTTCGAAATGTAGGAACAATCGGAAGTAAAAGAAAAAATTGAACTAAATTCACGAACAAACAGAGATACGATTTGCAAATTCGAATTCACAAAGATGAACGAAAGTGAGAAGCACGAGTGAATGAAAGTAGCTGCCAATTTTAAATTTAAAATGACAAACCCACTTCGACATCGCATTCACGATTAATTAGCGAAATTTCAGGATCTTTTGCCTAGTAATAATTTTCATAAATACTCTTCCATGGCAATGGGCGTGACATGTTCAAATATATTTACGTGGCTCGCATTACAAACGAAATCCGTCTCTAAATTTTTTGAACTTCTCTCACTGTCAGTATAAAACTCTCAAAAATCTCCGTCCGGTGGATCCAATAAACCCTCCTCAAGCGCGATAGAACAAACAAGCTGAAAACACGATGCAAGGCAGTGTTTCGCCTTATCTCGCTTCACTTTGGACAAGAAGAAGTTTGTTGTCCGAAGAACCGCAATTTAGGTGAAATTAAGATAACGCGGAGTGCCAGCGAGGAAAGAAAGTGAAAGCAGCGTGAAGCCTAAGAGGGGAGGGAGGAGAGAAATGCATCAGGAAAGCAGCGTGTTCGGTGCTAAGATTACGAGTTCGCAGCAGGATTCGAACTTGGCGGGGGCTGGGAGGGGGTGGTACCGTCGGATTAACGCAGCCACGCGCATTTACCACCCCGTGTGTGCATGCACCGCGTGAATTCTGCAGCCGTGTAGGGACTTAAAGTGGCACGGTGCAAAGTACGAGCTTGTTCACAAGTTCTTGCTCGGACTCGGCTTGGATTTAGAACCGGCGCGCTACGTGACTCCTTTCGTCATATGTTAATTTGGATTCTCGCCTTCTAACGGCGGAACGTGACTTCCAACCTCGTGTGACCGTTCTTTGCCTTTCTTTTCTTTTCTTTTTTTTTTTTTTCTCACACAAATTGAGTGAATTCCGAGAGACAGATCAAAGCGAGAAAAGGAATTTATTTTTGTTTTTCTATTTAATAGAATAACGTTTGAACAAATGTTGTTGCATAATAATAATATGTATAGAATATACTACGACATTTGAATAAACAGAATAAACGCGAATGTTTGTTAACGGAATAGTGCTTGATTGCTGTCGGAGCAAGCAGGTTTGAAATATAAATTGGAACTTTGGTGGAAACGATTAGTAGTAAGATTCTTTTCCGACGCTTACTTCCGGTGAAAAATTTGAAAATCGAAGGAATTTTCAATTAAGATTAAACTAAAAAAGGAATTAACGAGTAGTTGCTTCTTTTTTTTTTAATAAATGGAACGATATTAATGGAATAGATATATTAGTTTGGAAGGTAGTGGGAGTTTAAATTGGAATTTTAGGGAAAACAAGCAGAGAAAGATTTCAGATGTTTATTATTCTTTATTAGGCGAATTAAAATGTTGAGATTCTGGTATTTACCTTTGGTGTTTGCGAGGAACGTTCGACGAAGATTAAGTCGCGAAAGAAATGAAGGAAGAATTAATTCCCTTAATAAAGATTATTAATAGACTTGCAAGATTTCTACCCGTAAGATTAAGATAACAGATTTGAAGTTTGAAATTGGAATTTTTGCGGAAAATAAGCAGAGAAGGATTTTAGATATTACTATCCCTTATCGCGGGACGGAAATATCGAACATCCGATATGAAGATTGAAATAATTCATTTTCAATTAAGTATCTCCTGCGTTGACAGTAGATTAATGAATAATTCATATGAATTCAGCTGAATTTATATAACTCTTTTTTACCGATAATGAATACGATAAATGCGTCATAATATTATCTAAAATATTCCATGGCAAAGCGATAACGAAAAAATCACTTTTAGACATATTTAAAAAGAAATTACACTTTGGAAAGGAAACGATTCTCAATCAATTCGCGTATCTTGTGTTAAATTCACATTTACAGACATACATGTATAATTTCTATATATATTCGAAATTTTTATGTGACTTTCACAGAAAATAAGTTTATCCGATTAATATTTAATTTTATTTAATTTGAAAATAGATCAGTGATAAGATTTCAATTATGAACGAAACGATTTAACGCAAATGTACCAAAAGCAATAAGTAGTAAATATCGATGAAAAACGATACAATGACCCTTCAATTTTGTTCATTCAGTGCCAAAGGAGACGCACGTAGTAGCATTATCCCGGGGCAAACAATCCTCCTTTAACAGAATAGTATACTATCACGGCATCCAAGTTGATCAAGGATCTAAAGATGACACCGATACCCGTCGTCGCTTTATGGTCGTCCGCTTTATGATAACCAGAATTACGTCAGAGATCTACGATCACAAAGCATTGCACTTCCAAGCGAAATGTATCTGTGAGAATTTATTTTCACGTCACGCCCCGCCATAAAAATATAATCTTTCATACGCAACTCATTTTTTTTTCACATTACCCTAAAAATTTTATCACGTTTAAAAGAAAAAAGTTCATGAAACTGTTTATTAAATTTGAGCAGTTTGCAAGCGACGTCACGTGGAGTGTGTAAAATGAATAGCATTTGCTTCTATATGTTTTCTTTTTCTTACGAAAAAAAAGAGGAAAAATTCAGAACGTGAATCTTTGTTACAAAAATATTTTTAAGAACTTCATCTCTGAATATTTTTTTTTTCTTTGTTGTATTTTATCGTAAAATAAATATTCATAAAATTGTTTATCAAATTCGAGAAATTTATAAAGAACGAGTTATATCAATTCTTTACTTTTTGAGAGATCTAGATCACCTGGAGCGCGCGAAATAAATAATATTTGCTACTACATTTTTATTTTTTTCTC